AACACCGTTGGATGCCGGCTCAGTGGTCTAATGGTTAAATTCTCGCGCGCGAAGCCAGTAGGTCCTAGGTTCGAGTCCCACGTGGTGCGGGATCGTAGGTGCGCACTGCTGAAGAGTCCCGCACTAGGAAGAAACGGCCGTCCAGTGCCTCCAGGTTTTCCATGGTGGTCTAGCTTCAACTGACTCATGATTTCAATCTGTGATATATGTATTAGTTCAAGTTGACATACTTTATGTTATATTAGATCGTCGCTGATTGCTGTGCCGGTAAAGAGCCGCTGATCACTTATATTCGGAACGAGAGACCACGGCAATTCCCACGATGTGAAAGTAAGAACACAAAGACTGGTATAAGTGAAGATTTATTTACCCCAAAACACGACGACGAACGATAGTCAAAATAATCTAAAATACACTGGTTTATATATTGATTGTACATCCATTTTGATTAATAATTAGGATGAAATCACATATTCAGTTATAACAAATCACTTACTGAGTATAATTCATGTCAATGGAATACAAGAATATCTCGCATATTATACAGAAGAAAAATATCATACTGTGAAAACAGTAACAAACATTCCATTGAATAATCATGACATTGAATCCAAATGGAATTAATGTTGAATGACAATCATAATCAAAAGACTAGTATTTGAACGAAGAATATTCTTTTCAATAAATTCTCATCAGTTTCTACAATTATATATCCAAATTAATAATTCGAAAAAAATGGTCAGGAAACGATCCATCCGCTCTCTTAGTCAAGAGAACGTCCAAAAAGGTTATTCGGCCATCATTCTCTTCTTCAGATGTAAACTGAATGGTTGGATGCACTTCATTAAATCGCCTAAGAACCTCTTGCGGTGACGTATTATCTTTACAGAGGATGAACGTATCATCTACAGTATCTACAGTAAAATGTGAAGTTTTGAATAATCTTTTTTAGTGAACCATTTTCTAGTTTGGCTAGAAAAATATCAGCTAGTACAGGGCCTAGTGGTGAACCCATTGCAACACCATCTGTTTGTCTATATATTTCACCGTTGAATTTGAAATTTGCATTCATGGTGCATTTGAGTAATAACTCTTTGACGACACTAATAGGGACAGTGGTTTCAATTTCATTTTCAATTAGCTGTTCACCTATATATTTTACAGTCTCTATGAGTGGAACGTTTGTAAATAACCATGTTACATCCAATGACGTCATCTTTAGTCCAAACGTATTTGCATTTTTGATTTTATCAACAAATTGGAACACATCCTTAACACTATATTTTACAAGCTTTTCGTGGAGAGGTTTCATTACAGTTACCAACCACTTAGCTACAGTATGGTAAGGAGAGTTATATATATCTAAAATAGGTCTTAATGGGACTTCCGGTTTGTGCACCTTTGGCAATCCATACAATCTCGGCAGATTGGATATATAATTGTAGAACCTAATGATAATTTATCGAAAAGAATATTCTTCGTTCAAATACTAGTCTTTTAATATGACGGGGATCTTTAAACGATTAAAACTCATAATCGATAAATCAATCGAATTGTGACTATTCTTCTCATCATATCAAACAATAATTAATGTACTGGGTATAACTCGGGTCCTAACACTTTATTAACGCAACAAGATGAACAATGAATTCATTGAAGTAATTACTTCAATGGTAGTAATATTATAAAAGAAAGGATATAATATTAGGGTGAAAGAATTAGTTGATAGTGTTATATCCCTATCAGAATAATGGATGGTAACTTTTGGGATCCATTTATGAATCAATACGATACTAACTAAACTATTCATATTCGTCTTTTTCTCATTATGAGCATTATTTTGGCCTATGAACTATTATTATACGATTTATCATTCTTGAATTATGCCCTGTCTATTATTAGTTACTGCCTCCCACATTCACAGCCACATTTGGCCAAATATTGTACAAATATTGTTTCCTATTTTATGGTACGATGTGGTCTGTCTGGTTGGTATATAAACCCAGTATGCTTGAAATACATGATTCATTTCGTGGAGGCTGAGATTGATATTCTGGACTTAACAGATAAGGCTAGGAATGAAGCAGGACCGATAAAGACTATAGACTGCTCGTACAGGTTTTGTGAATTATTGACCCATTCGATAATTCACTGTGTTCTAATTGGTGGTATCATTACGTTATACATTGTATAAGGGCAAAAAACCACAAGTTATAACAGGTATAAAGGAAGATATAAATCAATTTTAATCCCATGGTTTAAGGAAAGACAAAGAGTGTATACACCTACACTATTATGATTGATTCTGAGACATATTACCCAGTCTCCAACCATTGGTTACGATAGTTTACTCGGACTATAAAGGATTGGATAGTTATTTTCTTCTAGTTTCAAACTCTATAGTATTAAACACTTAGAATTTCATATAAGATCAAATTAGGTTTTATGTTTAACTGAATATCATTGAGCTATTAGGTCGAATTCTAGTGATTCAAATCTAGTCAATTGATTACTAGATTTTAAGTAAGACATTGGGATTGTAAGATCAATTAATTGGGGGGGGGGAGATAAGTATTAACTTTTTCCATGATACTATAACTTAGACTCTATAAAAATAGAAAATGTAGAGCATTATATACTTCCTATTCAGTAGTTCCTCGGAATATGCTTTATTTGTGAGTTCACAAAATGGAGAAAACTTCGAAAGTATTCAGATCTGTGATGTGTGGGCGAGAATGATAAGAATCGGTTGTCAGCCTAGTCAAACATGCAGATAATCTGACAAGTGTCAGATGAGTTATATATTCCCTTATCCTTATTATCATTTATTATTGATTGTTTATTGTTGTTGGATTGTGTTGAGTTTTTGGTGTGGAAATATATTTACGTCGTTGTCAGACTAATCACGTGCTCTTGATCTGAGTTGTGTTGAATTCCTGTAGAATAAACACTGGGAGGGAATCTAGTGTAGATATTCAGTCTAAGGTGAATTAACGTCAGATACGTGTAAATGTGGGAAACTAACCGTTATTAAATTAGACGAAGTAAAACCGAGCGTTATAACAATATGATAATTTGATGGAGAATTCAATACGTATAAAACTGTTAGGATGTGCTGAAAAATATACCAATAGTTATCATGTTAAGTCGAATGTTGTCCTTGGACGCTAAATGTACATCCCCTATTGGTCGATATTTACTTCACTTGTTTAATATTGTGTAAATGTTGTTTTCTATTTTTATGGTACGATGTGGTATGTTTGGTTAGTATATAAATAGAGTGTGTTTGAAATATAATGATTCATATCTCAGAGGCTGTGACTTGCGTTCTGGACTCAATTGGCTGGGATAGATAGGGAAGCAGGGCCAATCGGGACTCTAGGTCGTTCGTACGTGTTTACATGTCACTGTAACCGATCGATATAAACGCTGCCTACCAAAACCTGCAGTCCTCACACGTTACAACAAAAACATAATAATGTAAGCAAATTTTACAATGAAAGATTAGGATTAATACTTTATGCATTCCCACACTGATCTATTCACAAGTGATCCAATTACAGTTTAATCCAATACAATTCAGTGAACAGGATTGAACATGCTGTATTTGAAATTTGTGAAAAAGGCGAGGAATAATGTACGAAATAACTCATCACATTTATCTTTATAATTTAAAGGTTTTACAAACCGTTATGGAATTCCGTAGGGTAAGGTTTTTCTGATTCCTTCCTTTTGTTTTTAGAAGGCAGCATTGATGGAGATGCTGCTTGTATGAGGTATACATCTTAATGGTGTTAAACCCTTGAACAGTTAGCAATAATAGTTAGCCTTAGCACCTTGAGTTTATTGCATTTGGTTTGTCTTACCGTTTCTCAACACAGTAGCCCCAGAGAGGTTTCAGGCGTAGGTTTGAGTAAAATATTTTATACCTAAATGATAGGCTGAGGAGTTTAGGCATTTCATATGCTTATACTTACATACCATCTCAAAGCCAAATGACTATATAAAAAGGCTCATTTTCACTATCTCGTTACTCTGTCTTATAGTATCTATTCATTGGAAGCATAATTGTACGTGCATTCCATGTACCTGAACTAATGGTTGATCTGGTTGTCAGAAGGGGCATCAGTCTCGTGACTTCCGAAGGAGCTCGGCTTTCATGATGAGGCGTTATAACTCTTCCAAATGAAGATCTTCTAACTCCCAGCACAGAGTTTAAATGGTTTGAATTATTTTCTTTTTAGTTAACGTTTTTTAGCGAGTTAATTTTCTACCAATATCAACCGATGTGAAAATGAGAATCTTCAATACGAACGTCAAGACAGTTAGTTCTAATGTACGGAGCTAAAACTCGAAGAACTAATACAACCATTATCAAGAAGGTACAATTGTTTATAAATAGTTATCCACGTAATATACTCAACATCCATTGGCTGGATACCATCAGCAACAGCCCACTGTGAGAGAGCACAAACCAGGTCCCGGCTGAAGAGGAATTCAAGAAGAGACAATGGAAATGGATAGGACATACACTACACAAACCATCAAACTGCATCACGAGGCAAGCCTTAACTTGGACTTCTGAACGAAAGCGTAATAGAGGAATGCCAAAGCACACATTACGTCGAGAAATAGAAGCAAATATGAAAAGGATGAACAACAACTGGAAGGAGCTGTAAAGGATTGCCCAGGATAGGGTTGGATGGAGAATGCTGGTGAGTGGCTTATGCTCCTTCACGAGGAGTAACATGCGTTAGTAAGTAAGTAAGTTTTCTACGCGATGGGGTCGCTAACCTCATACCTAAACCTCCTCCTTTATCCGAGCTTGAGAGCGGTAGTAGCCTTAGAGAGACTTCAGGTGGAGTTTATTCATTAGAAGTATTAAATCATTAATTCGGATGTTGTAACTGACTACCATATGTGAACCATGATCAATTTTAGAAGATTAATTGCAGTACACAAAATCTATAAGATAGAATTTATCAGACAAATCTTATGAATACGGTAAAAATATGATACGATTAATTAAATAGTAGACAATATTCAAATGAAACATTTTGTTTTCCTGCCTTTCTCTTTTTTTTATTATTCTTCATTTAAGCATTAATAGAACTGATAAATGATTTAGCTGGTTTAATATAACAAATCGATTCTGGTACTTTAATCTCTTGAAATGTTGATAAAAAGGCTGTTGCCACCTGTTGAGTAAAGAAAAAGAAGGAGAATAAAGGATAAAGGAAATAATATTCAATAGTTATATAAGTAGTAGATATGTATGAGTTTAAAGTTTTCCTGTTAGTGATAATGAAGAATACGATGAATCATTCTCTTTATTAACACTTATGCACATATTGAATGGAGTGCATCAATAGTACAGTTTAGTTATAATGGAAAAACTCAAACTCTTACATATAGATATACAGTTTCATACCTGATGGTTAGATCTAGTAGATGTGAATACTAATACTAAGATGTAGGTATGTTCAACCTGCAAGCCTTAGGATGAAACTTCGCATGGATTCCACTGATAGCCAAAATCCAACTTTACTAAAATTATAAATAGTATCTTAAAAGTATTGTTCAGAAAGGATATGGGATCATCTGGATAAGAGGTTCTAATATTGAACCTTAAGTAGTTAATAGGTTAGCCGATGAGATTGTTAAAATAAATTTCAATTTAGTTACTAAGATAATGTTTGATGAATTATGGATCGATTTCTTACTATGAATTAGATAAACTGTCATATAAGTAACATTAAACCTTGAAGATATATGTATTATCAGAAGGGGTTTGTGGAGATTTTAGAAATTTTCACAGATTGAAATCATGAGTCAGTTGAAGCTAGACCACCATTGAAATCCTGGAAGGTCGTTTCGTCCTAGTATGGGACTCCTCAGCAGTGCACATCCAGGGTCCCGCACCCGCGGGATTCGAACCCGCCCAGTGCTTCCAGGTTTTCAATGGTGGTCTAGCTTCAACTGAATCATGATTTCAATCTGTGAAAATATATGTATTAGTTCAAGTTGCTCATACCACATCAGAAAAGTGAAATTCCAGTGTTGTTTATACAATATCAATGCTAGTAGAATGTTTATCGAGACCATGTAGAGTAAAGTTATAAGTCTACACTGAACTATAGCTCTCAGAATGTTCATGATTGATATATGGGTAGTGAAATCAGCATGTGATTGATCAGTAAACATAAAGAAACGGATAAGCCTCTCTGCAGACCAGCACATAGATTATTTTTATATGAAAAGATTAATTTCATTATAATTCTAATTACATTTCTCATTGTGTGATTGTTCTTAATTCTTCATTAAGAAACGGTGTTTCTGATTTATTGTCTGGATGGTTAATCAGAGATTGTGGTCTAATGTACTCAGTTGTATTATCCAACCTAATTGATTGTTATAGTATTTCATAGAAGAGGATCAAACACATCATTATTTTTATCGTTATAACAATCATCAAATCATAGTTAGAGATTCTAGAAACTGGTGTGTGTGTGACGACGGACCACGGGTGAATTTGAGGGAGCTGTAGGAGGCTCAGAAGGAGCCGAAGATATTCCATTCACTCACCTTTTGGAAGAATGTTCCAGAATTCCTACGTGTAGCTTCCCGATTGGACAATGTTAATAACTCCCTGTATGCTGATTGTAGGACTGTAATGATGATTTCGTTCTTACTAAAAACTATAAATACCTGACAATTTTGTACTATAATTGACACTATCTGGGAATAATATCCCTTTCATTAGTCTTCTGTCTTCTCATTGCGACCTGGAAGGGTCCTGCCGTTTTAGTGCTCACGTTATACGCGGTATATCAAGAAAAACCTTCTAGATATAACAGTGTGACAGTATCATCTGTAGTACATTTATTGTTCTTCATTCCTTTGTAAAATTTGACCGTAACGTAATCCTTCCTTAATTTTTATAAAGGTTGAACTTTGGAAACGGGTAGACATATATCTTATATTTATTATTGTTTAAATTCAACAATCTTCACAAGTCCCCTATACTGATTACAATCATATGTTCCCCAGTGAATAATTTCAAGAGGTATTTTTCATGATTTCTAATGAGAAGTCATGATCAGTGAAGTTCAGATGTTAGATAGTTACTTATCAATGACATTGGAAGATGATTGTGCAATATCGCAAATTATTTAATGTTGGAAATATGAGTCCTTGAGTTCCAGCTCAGTGATTTGAAGGATCCTTGATCTGATGTCACGCATCGTCATGAATGCACAATACTGTGGAGTTTCACTTTTGAGCAGAATAGCTGCTTACTGCTCCTTGGTTTGTCATGACTGTCCAACCAAGTTTAGTTCATAATGTGAATTACAAAGTTCAGCAACCTCCATAAATTGCCTTTACTATTTAAACAACATTTAGATTTGAATTTGTTGAGTAATCGAGTTTTATCGAAGTAGGTATGTAGTAAACGAGAACACAAATGGAGACAATCGAATGTATTTCAACAGAAAATTACAGAATATCTTGATAAAATCTGAGAACCATACAGTAAATACTTCAGTTGCAAAATGTCAATCAGTCGTCTCAAATTTTATTGTTCCTTTGTTTCTACAGAACTCATTCTTTGTTCTCGTTCTCTTCTCTTCGATCTTTTTAACCTTCTGCCTTCACACATTTCACTTTCGATTGATGATACATACTACTTATATCTATCGACATCAGTAGCACACACCACAGTTACAGTTCATAATCATCACATAAATATGGGCATCCTTAGTGATTTGTCTAGATGCTTATATTTCACATTTTGGTCAGACTAATAATTTCTTCATTTATTCATAATGAATAGTCTTAACGTGAATGAACACCTTGATGGAGACAAACAATCTATCTTATAATACAATATTACAGAATATCTTCGTAAAATATATGACAACCATAGACTGAATACTTTCATTTTCAAAGTTCCATTATTTGTCCTTCACATTTTGTATGATTTTTTAGTTCACAATTTCTTTCTATTTACCTTTCTGTTGTCTTTAACTCAATTTTCTTATCCTTCTACTGTCAGGTTGGTGTTACATACTACTTATATCTGTCGACATAAGTAGCATGCGCCATAAATGGAATATGAAAACTACTCTGATCAATCAATGTTCATTACAAACTTCCAAGAAGATTTTAGTAAAGGATTAATTATGCTTTCATTATCCTAATTCAATAATTATTGAACTGGTTAACCATTGAGGCATAGTTTTCATAAGTTTCTAGAATCTCAAAGTCAAGCATAATCTTACAAATAATTTTGTGTTTGTACATGATCTAATCTTGAAAGTAAAACTCTTTCAGTACTCCCCATTTTCTGTCTCATTTTCGAGGTTCATGAAGAGAAGAGTTCATGGAATTGGGAAATCGTTAAGAAGTTATTGTCTAATTATTAAAGTATACTATCGGTTAGCTGATTAACTCAGACTACTAGGGTGTTATGATAATCGTTAAATTTGAAGTTCTGTACCATGGATTGACTTAGGTTAAACATCTATTGGAAAACAGGAAGCACCAGACAGGGACTCTTTCCTAAAGATCCTTGATTTGATCCTTAATGGGGTTGAGTACTTCTTGATTTTGAATGACCTCCTAACCGAAACCAATCTGTGGTATAAAACTTCAAAACCATTTTTTAGTAGCCTGGTGTAGTTTTTGACGGGGTAAATTGGCAATCAGATTACTGTATTAATTCTTGTTAAAAGCAATTAATCTATCTGATATACTTTGTCTTCTCAATGCTTTATCTGAATTATGATCCCTTTTTATTCGTTTTAACACTTACCTCTTCATTAGGAAAACACTGTCCTAAAATTTCTAACAATAAAGCATTATCTTCAACAGCTTGTTGAAAATCAGTGTAATTCAATCTTCCATCATGATCCATATCCTGTAAAAAAGGAAAAAATATTCAATGAAAGGTTTCGAAATTATTTTTTGAAGACTTGTTTTACTTAAAACTATTATAAGTAGTTAAATGTTTTCGTCAAAATAATTTAGACGTTCGTACAACTTTGATAGGACCACTCTAATCAATGTATAGCATAGCTGTATAGCAAATATATGAAAAATTGGTATTTTTTTGTTATGGCATCATTATCGAAGTTTTCGTAATCTCGTACGAATATATATTCACAATGAATTCCAATTAAAGATTGACGTTAGGCAAAAAATTCATCTTTTTATTGAATCCATTTCAATGATCATCTAGAATATGGCGAATATTTGTTTGTGTTAGTTTTCAATTTTTAAATAGCAATGTTATAATTTTATAGTTGAATTCATTAGTTAATTAAAGGTAGACCACCATGGAAAACCTGGAAGCACAGGATGGCCGTTTCGTCATAGTATGGGACTCCTCAGCAGTGCGAATCCACGACTCTGCCACGCAAGATTCGGACCCAGGACCTATCAGTCTCACGCGCGAGAGCTCAACCATTAGACCACTGAGCTGGGATCCGACATGCAGTGGTTGAACTTAGACATTAATACCATCCAGTGCTTCCAGGTTTCCCATGGTGGACTAGCTTCAATTGACTCATGAATTCAACTACAAAATTATTAAAATCTCCACAAAACCCCTCCTGACAATGTTATAACTATTTCTGGACTGGTTTCGCTCTGATCAGTGCTTAGAACTCTGACTGTTATACACTTGGTGAAATGATAAATTAATGAACAGATAGTTAATGTTTACAGACTAAACTTTAGTTAGATTTTAATCAGAATCTACATATCATGATTACTGTAGATAGTCTAACTAATAATAGACGATTCATCCCTTATATTTAATTAAATTTGTCTCAAATTAAGATAGATTTATTTTACATGACCTCAGGGTGTGTTAGAATTTCTTATATAGTAATGCCAAGGAAAAAAATAATCAGGGATATTTTATGATTAATAAGGGTTTAAATTGTCCAAATGTTGTTATTCAATACTGATATTTGATCAGTTATTGTTAGTAAATGTATATCCTAGATGGATTACTTCGATCATTTTGTTAAAAGTATAAGAGAAATACTAATAACTATGTAGACAGCCCCCTGGTACGGCCGAGGGTGAGGAGAGTCAGCTCTCCTTCTCGAAATGCTCTCACATGGACACGCGTATGCAAACACTACCAGGGAAGTCCTACTCATTGTCTTCTCACACAAAGGGTGTTGTTTACGAAATTGAGAGGATGAAAATCAAATGCTCGGCGCTTTAACCGGGTTGTTGGACACGGAGGATACACCTAAGGGAGTTGGAAAACCCTCATTCCAAATCAATGGCGAATATGGGCTCCAGGATCCTGAGGAAACAAGTGGCATACGAACCAATTATTGGTCACCGGCTGATATGGGACTGCATCTCTTAATGATGCTTCACTGCCTTGTGGATCAGACCTTTAGATCGAAGGCTCCGGGTGTGGCCCTCTAAGGAAACCACCTGGTTCGGTCTGGGCACCTGGGCAGTATCATAGCCCACACAAATCAAGTGATTTGTACGGTGCATATGTAATCAGTGCCCCTTTGTATCAATATTTATGTGTTCAAATAAATAAATAAATAACTGTAAACATCACACTTGTTGGACGAGTTAGTAATTATCAACACTTAATATCTCAGTGGATAATGAGTTAGGTGTTTGGAGTGAAACGCACGTGATTCGAATCGTAGTATAAATATCAACACTAAAATTCAGGGGACTTCAGATGTTGAGTCCCTCATAAAAAGAATAGTCTATTCAAGATTCCAATGCCAATCAAAATCAGTCTACTCTGAAAAAAAAGTAGTCAGTAATCTAAAATGAGTACGGTGCAAACGTAACCAATAAATGAAAGTAGTACATACCAATCGTTTGAATGCCATTTCAACTAATTCTCTAATTCCTTCATCAGGATCCTCATCTGTTGGTTGCTTTTATAATTTAAAATAAACAAATGAATAAAGGATTAAAGGATTTACATTGACTGCTTTCTAAATACATATACTTGCTGTCTGAAATATCTTTCGTTTTGTTTATTTGGAGATGGATTACAAGAAAAAACTGTGCTATAACTACGACGGCAGATTAGAGGACAGAGTATTATCGATCGGACCAAAGACGCGCAAACACGTAAGAACGGCCTAGGGTTCTGATTGGTCCCGCTTCCCTGTCTAGCCCAGCCAGTTGAGTCCAGAACTCAAGTCTCAGCCTTGGAGATATGAATCGTTATATTTCAAACATACTCCGTTTATATACCAATCAAGCAGACCATATCGTAACATAAAATAGAAAATAACATTGTACAATATTGACCAGTAGGAAAACGACACGTGAAATAAAGATTGACCAATAAGAAAATGATACCATCTCAAGTCTAAAGGATAGCGTTAGACTTCACAAAATAATTTTTGGGATATTTTTCTGAATATTCCAACAAACTGATACATCTTTTATGAGAGTATTGCAAACAACTGTCACGTTTTTTTAGGCTTAGGATCTACTCGTCGGTGTATATCCTCGTTGCTATACATAAAATCTACTGGATAATCTTTCACATTCTTTGTATACACACTGACGAATAAATTTTAAGTTAGGAAGAAACAAATGTTTGATGCTGTTTAGTTTTGACCGGTTTTCTTGTGAATAGTCTGCCAGTGTATGTGATAAGAGAAGATTGGTGTATTTGTTCTGAGATTAGTCAATGTGATCTATGACTGGTCAAAAATTAAAGATAGAAACATTACGACACATAAGCGGCTATTTTACATATTAAACTGACTCATTCACTTGTCCCCATTCTGTAATTATGTCAATATAACTTTGGTTATTAATATATGGTTTTTGATCGAATACTTGAATTTAAGTGTTTGGATTCAAGTAATTTGATCTCAGGTTCAGTTTATACTAATTTGGCTCAAGGAAGCATAGTGATTAAAATGGATAGAAGTGAAAAATACAAACGATCAGTACATTTTTGACTTTCAAAAGCTTTCAAGTCTAGGCATAGCAAGTGATCTTATGGAAGGAAAAGCTGAATAAAAATTACTTGAGCCTATTCTAACTATTCTACCTAGCTATTTTAAATGTCGAACTTTTATTAAACTTGTGAGACTTTTTAACAATTGATATAACTTTCTTTTAACCAAATATCATAAATCTAATGGTTAGCCCCACAGTGAGTAGTATACTGTGAGTGTGTCATGAACTAAGTGTATATCGCCCTACGATTTTTATGAGTTGTCTACATATCACTGATTTGTGATAATAAGTATGTATTTGTAAAACTATTCAGAATAAATTTTTTTACAGTTTGGAGTTGTAGAGATTATTGAATTTCATTAAAGTCATGAACCAGTCAATGTTAGACCGCAATTGAAAACTTGGAAGTTAGAAATAAACGCCGTTAGACGCTATCTCAGTGGTATAGAGGTTAAGCATTCAGGAGCAAGAGCGAAGGTATTGGGTCCAAATGAGAGATCGTGGATGTGTGCTGTCAAGGAGTGTCATACGAGGACGAGACGACTTTTTCGTGCTTCCAGGTTTTTGATGTTAGTCTAACATTGATTGGTTCATAGTTTTAATAAGTGTTTATAAATTGACGAGTGAAATAAAGTTTAAACGCATCCGAAATCAGACTCACATAAGATCTGAAGTATGTGTTAGACAGAGTAGTGGTTAGAAAAGCATCAAGCATTTATTATATAAATGGGTTAATTTCAGTAACCACAGACAACCACCGATTTCAATTAACATTACTTAAAGTTTCAGGCTAAAATTACCTATCATGTTTTTAATGTCTAATAAGTGCTGTATCCAGTACTTTCAAGAGTTTTTACATTCATTTAGTGGCTGAGTACCATATATGAGAGTATAACTTCCACTGAAGACTTCAGTTAAAGCCTAACCTTTGGTTAAATTTTATTCTAGTATGCAGTGATCATTCAGTAAATGAACGGAAAATCAGACTGGATACAATAAGCTTAATAAACCATAAAAAACATGGCAGCCAAGTTTCAAACTTCTGGAATTCAAAAAGAACACGTGTGAATTTTTTCGTGAACAGGTTCAAGAATGTAAATACTTATGGTTTTATATCATATATCAATTTGACTGTGGACCAAGATTATTCAGGGCTGCTTGTACCATTTGTTGATTTTTACTGAAAAAGTTGTGCTTGTATTTAACAAATACAGACGGCTTGTTACAACACTGGTTATACACAAATGTTACAAATTATGAGTTGTTTTGAGAAATCTATATTGCATCAAATATATAAAACTGAATAAAGCTATTATTAACAAATAAATAACAGTTATTCGATTTAATGTCGGGCACGTTGACTTCAAACCAATGAAAAAAGCTGTTAAAACCCCTAAAACCATGAATTATTTCTAGCTTGTGTAAATAGTTCAACAGAAAACAGGAGAATTACAAGTAAATAAGTATTGTGTTATTTTTTAAATTGTGTATAATGTGTTAAAAAACTGACTAAAGCTAGATAGTTGGGACACACAGCACAAAAACAAAAATTATGTCACGGAATAGTGTTATAAGCTGAGTGTTTGGAGCTTTTGCCAGTTTCTCTCAGTGTATAAAACTGGCAGCTATCACAAAAGTCCCTGAAATGTAAGCCTGATAAAAATATGGTTCATTCGGTATGATATTTATGGCTTTCAAGAAACTGTGACTAAGTGCCACGTTAATATTCCAACCTAAAAAGTGCTTGTAGAGTTGAATATCATTTGTTATTTTCTAAAACTGTGGTCCAAAAATGCCTTTACTTTTAAGACAGTGCAAGACGCTACAAAACACCAGCAATTTATACTTGTATCTGGTTTGACTAAATTTAAAAATATTTCATGGTCAGTGGAAATTTCCTCCTGGTTCGATTTTTGTTGAATACTTAAGTTTAAACGGTGACTGTTGGTAGATCTGTTTCAATGAGGTCCATTATTGTTCACAATACATTATTGATTTAGTACATGAAGCCTTTTGTTTTTGATTAATAAAGTTCGTTTTTTCAGTTATAAATGAAAATAGATCATAATACCAAGTAGTATGCCAAAATGAATAGTATGTAAATTCATGTTGAAAAGTGAATTCCGGCTAGATGATGATAGATAAAACATGGAAAAAATCTTAGTAACACAGTGGAGACAAGAAAATAAAAACCTGAATCCATGACATGCACCTACGTTATCCAACTTACAACATACACTTGTACCGTTTATGTAAATTTCAAAGTAAAATATAATTTTTTATACAAACAATTCATGTCTTTGATACTTGAGGGGTATAGCCTTAAACTATGCATTGATTTTTTGGATTACGAAGTACAGAAGATCTTATATGTTAACGGCAGTTTGCATGTAAGTTAATTAAAAAACAAAAACTCTTTGATAAGCTTTTAACAATTTATAAGTGTAATTTATATATGCTACTTCTAATGTTTCTCTAAAGTATTGATGTTGTCTCCAAAGCAAAATAACATTGTTTTCAATGTGAAATCATGTCAAACATAGTACAGCGGAACATAGCTGAAAAATCAAGAGATAGGGTAGAAAGATTTTGAAAAAAATTGACAGAAAACCTAAACTACTTTGAATTTGAAGAGCCAGTCATTCTGTTTCACTTGAAAGATCAAATACGGACTGTATATATGCACTATACTAAAAATGGACTATGCATCACAAACAATTTACTTTGTCACGCCGTATTATATTGCCAATAAATAAGTAATTTAAAGGCTTAGAAGCAGTAAGTGAAAAGAACACTATACTATTACAACAGACGTGATCTCTTTAATTTTTCCTCAAGCTTAATTTAAAAATATGTACTTCCGTTTTATCGAATACTTCTAATGGAGTCGGTAATGGTTGGCTGTAAAACCGAACGGTTCAAGGGTAATCCTTTAGCTAAGACCAAATTAAATGGTTATTAATCACTTTTAGGTGCTACCCAGGCTTTTAGGTTGCTAATGACAAAGTAATAACGCGGCAAGGGGTAAAAGAGACAAGCTAATGTTCAGATGAGTTTTTAAAATAATATATAGTCAAGATTTCCATGTTTACACTCAGAGGTTTGATTTTAATATACATTTCCGGGGTCAATCACACATAAGATAGAGCGAAAGTATGAAAATGTGAGGCCGAATGTATGAAAAGCAAGGGGCTATAAAATATTTCACCCGGTTTTTGTGTATCATCTTTGTGAGCAGCAGTGCTCAGTGCGGCAAAATCTAATGACCATGCTTACAAATGCAGAAGTAATTGATACAATTTGAAAACTTGTAAAACATACGAAATAGTTACTTTGACAAGAGAATACTTTAATAGCTGAAACATCTCCTCTCTGGTTATTCTTCCATCACTGTTAAGATCATAAACATCAAACGCAACTAAAACATTCATTGTTTTGTAACACATATTTACATTTTATTTTCTCTTCTAAAGTACCTCGTAGGAATATTGATAATCCCATCACCCATTCTTGAGCATTGACACCACCATCGAAATCCCCGTCAAAAACACGGAAGACTAAAGCTAGAAGTTGACGAGATAGATGTTACTTCTATCAATCATGACGTCATCCGTCATTTTAAATGTATGATGCAGTATTTCCCTGAACTTCATCCGATCTAACTTTCCGAAAGGCCTTTTGCTGTCAAATTTAACGAACATATCTAACAAAGCTTCGCATTCTAAACGAGTGACTTTTTCCAATAAGTTGGCTTTATCTTACAGTTCACATTGTTCGCAAGCTTGTTTGTCAATCTATTAATAGCTTTCCTGATGGAGATTTCCAACATATTAAGTGAGACCGTGAAATGTCATAGTAACACACAAAATGTGAAAGATTAAAACAAAAATAATCATATATACTATCCAATACTTTCCTAAATATTAAGAGCAGTAAATCAGTTGACACATGTTATTTATTAGTGTATACCTTTACTTAAGGATCCAGTTTATACTTGAAAGATTTCACTGATGGGATAATGTTAATTGCTTGTTTTGGATGATCCAACCGAAGTAGGTTGTTGGCAGAAAGTGTCTTATAGTTAAAACCACGGTGGTTTCTTTTATATGATAGACAAAAGTTGTGAGACACGAACCAATTTTGATGTTAAGAAAATGTCTATTATAGTCTGACATAGATAAAATGAAAGAGAATTCTGGGATACAATATATTTACCAATTATATGGTCTTTGATGAACGAAAGCTTCTGGAGTTTCGGACTTAACGTTTTTAAGGTTTTGGACTACGTAGACACGGTGGAAACACAAAGTTAAAGAAAGTTTACATTCGTAGGTAGACTTACTTCGCTGTCTCCGTAATTGCATTTACTGATGCCAGTTCCCCATCATAGGATGTAGTGAGTTTTGATCAACTTAGCTTTTTCTTCAGGTCATACAAATGAAGCCAAAAAAAACATGTTATGTTTGTTCCACTTACGTACTGTGATTCAGATATATTATCGATCATGTATATGGGTGCGTGAGTTTGATTGAACTCATTTCCGAATTCTAATCTTAAACTATTCTCTCACTAGTTGCAAACAGAGACAATCGGTAAATTTACACGAGTATTGATTAACACTGTTAAAAAACTCACAAATGTACGAATTCTTACTTTCGACTATTCCCTGGTGTTTTCGTTCATTGAGCGCTTGTCTATTTATTCATTAACAGACTAAGCTTTCTCAACATAGCTGATATTCTGGTTTCCGAATCTTCGTGATCAAACTCATAGAGATACATTTACATTATTTCCACTGAGGAACACACGGTTAACGGACCATCACGTTATGGATATGACCTGTACAAAATCTTAGGCCTTCAACTAAATCTGTCCTTAAGATTTCCATCTTATGAACGCTTTCGCGCTTCATTAAAGGGCATCGGTGCAGCTTTCTGAGTATAAGAGGTGTTTTATTTCTCACGGCCACAGTACAATGGCAGCTCTCTCGAAACTAGACTCTTCTATCCATCGTGTTTCCACAAGTACCTTCGTGTCGTGTATTCTGATCACTGCAGTTACTTGAATGGTCCTACTGATCTGCTACTTTGAGGGGACATTTTATATACCTGCATTAATTGTTGCTCTTGTTTTAAGAAGCAACATTGAATTTGCGACTTCCGAAACATCGTAGCTTTCACTACGAGGGATCAGAACTCTTTCACGTTAGACCTTAGAATCATGGTTTAAGTAACAAATTATTGCACTAATCTAAAAGTGTCCAGATTGACAACGTTTAGGAGACTAACACAACTTTACTCCAACGATTGGTAACTGTGTAGAAGAAGTTGTCAGACGAGAAAGTCATTTGAGGACAATCAACAGTGAACTGAAGAACAAGTGCATATCATTGGCTAAGAAATGAACTGATTTCCTATGGGATATATATGAGTATTGGTGCATTTCATTCTGTCTCCCGGTATGCTCTCTCGCTCACCTTTATATTCTCGCTTAAGTACTCAGTTGGGAGACCAAGCGCGTAGAACGTCGTGTATCAGCATCAGATTTCGGACATTGCCTACTATAACATATACGAAGTGTTGAGTAGAAATATGTTCCGAACAAATTGGGTTTCCCGATCAAAATGAGACTGATCACTCAGATTTCAGAAAGTCTTTGGAAGGTTTTCTACTAGTCATGGCACAGATGGAGAATAGAAAATGTTCAATATCCGTGATCCGTAGCAAATTGCTAGGTGCACATGTTGTAGAGTTGCTACAGTGACCGACAATAAAGAGAGTGAATAATTGGTTGACTGAGTGGAATGAAAATGTAGTATGACATGGTCATGTTCTATCATTGTTATAGTGCAGAACGAATGACAACTTCTGGAACGTAACCTAGTCACTAAGATTGGATCGACTCATGAAACCAGGTGATTGTGTGGTTGAGAACCAGTAGCACAATAAACATATGCGAGGACCGTAAGAAATAATATGCAGAGTAGTTGTTTCCTACTAGCACCACATTATCTCTTGCACTTACTTCACTAGATACGAACTTGTCTCGTAAAAATTTATTTGCTCTCTAGACCTTACCAAATGAGGTCAAACAGCTTTGCTTTTGGGTTAGGCTGTACCGAAACTAGGAGTCGCTTGATTGATGAGCTCTGATACTGTTATGTCCATTTATCTTAAGCTACTTTATAATGCCATTTAACTCCACTTGACAGTTTCAAACAAATCGGGAACTAGGCAGAAATTCGATAAAAAATGTTTTTGTGATATTCTCATGAGTAGAAATTAAATTTCTGACGTTTTGTGACTTAATTCGAGCCACTTCTTTAGAGTAAACACAACTGACTCAATGTTTTTAAAAACACACGACAGTGCCTATGTTTTTTGGAATGCCAGCCACGAATTATCCGAGATAAAATGCTTCAGTTTTTATACCAGCTTTTCCACAAATATGTTTTAATTTTGGTTGCCGTGGTCTATACCTGGACTGAATTCTACTGAAACTAAAGTTTACAATAGATTGAATAAGTCCGTATTAACTTTTGACGACTAAGATTCAACTATTTTGTCTGAACTAAGATAACGATAGAATGAAAACAATATTCGTTCATGCAAGCCGGACTACTGTACAGAATACAAAGCTTCTACGGGTCACTCGGAACTAACGGAAATATTTCGCGTAATGTTTTCTGCTCTTAACTACACCGCTCGGTCACTTGGCCATCGAAAGTATTTTCGGTACAGAGTATCGTATCAAGAACTTGAAGTGATATTGGTTCCTGACCACACGATTCTCGCAGCTGAATATATAATTACCGGGAAAGTTGACATTCAACGTGTAACACTCAAAGAAAGTCAGTAGCGGTGACCTCGGGAAGATTGGATCGAAATGCCATGACTTGGTCATAAAGGCGTGATCACATTGCCTCTCGCATTTTGCATCAAGTATATTACTCTTTTCTCAGTTCAAATGTGCTCTTCACAAATTCCGGACGTCGTGCTGCTGATGGGTCACATAAGATTGCTTAGATTAGGTAGTCATATCATGACAAATCCAAAATTTTTGAATTAAATCTATTATTATAATAGTACTAGTATCGAAGTAGACCATAATTCAAGAAACTAATGGTAATATTCCTAGCAAAATGGAATCAAAATTCTGTCTGCAGGATTAAGGTCAATCAACAGATGTTTTCAGCATAAAGTTAGAGAGTGACCATCATCAACCGCTTTATTCTGTAACCTTGATTTCGTCAAACGAGATCTTATTGTCACTGATGCTGGGTCATAAAATAAGGAGACAAGAAATCGAAAGTACATCTTAACCAAGGTTAAACAATGAAGGTTTAGTCAAGAAAGACTGGAATATCTAAAAACATGGCAAACTAGATTTTGGATCATAGTTAACATGCACAAAAAGATGATATTTAACGTAAACCAAAATTTCACATTCGATAAATAATGGCTGTCTCATTATGTTTCAATTATTCGATTACAAAATAACAAAACATCACTAGTTATGAACACTGTTTTTCTGCTTCCCACCCTTCTCTTTTTATCTCTCTTTTTTGGCACCCTCATGGTATACCACTGAAAACATATATATGGGACATATGAATTCTTCCTGAGCTTTCATTATTATCTTTGTTATTTATCTGGGAACACTATGAAGAAACACGAAACAAAATGTTAATGTAGATGTTCTTAACTGACTGGTTATATGGATTTACCGCATTATTTTTTATTATAAACACTTTTAGACTTTACTTGCATTCATTTGAGATCTTCAGTTGCTCGTTGCAACTCAACTTTGTTCGTGTCGTAGAAATCGTAGTAGTTCTTTGTTTTCAAGTCGGGGTAATAAGGTGACGCGGATATAAAACTTAGTCATCTGCCACCAAACATACTCAACTTGTGAAGTTTTAAATTTATGCCGGTATCATAATTAAGTATCATATGATGCATCTTTGGAAATGTGAAAAGTTTTACGTACTGTACTCGTGATGTCCTGTTTTTAAGTTTTGCAAATATATGTAATGAGGATTCACTGCTGATCCCAATAGGATGGAAATTGAGGTGAGGTTGACTCAGAATTCTTCCCAAAAGCATATTATCAAACACTTTTGACTACTTCGTAAGAAAGCTGAAGCTATAGGAGAATAATGTTACATATATTGAGGTATGTACAGTGATATGAATACAAAAAACTCCAGTTCCAGTATGATTGATATGGTCTTTTGCTTCAGTATGTTATTAAAACACAGTTGCATATTACTAATGTTATTATTATTGCTATTGTCACAGAACTAAAATCAGTATCATCAAGTGAACGAATTTTAATTACTTATCATTTTAGCTAAAGACCCACTTCGAAGGTTCGTAGATATGCGAAAAAGTATTGCGACCTGTAATACTGTGGTAAAAATGTAGGGCCAGTGAAATAGCACTGGGCTCTAGACAGATCATCTTGTAAGTGAATCACTGATTGTCGAATATTTAACAGACCCTCAGTAGGGTCAAAGACAACCAACGCTAATCATTCATTTGCACAACATGGTCTGGCTCATTCGGTAGTGGTCGTACTAGTTTTCTAACTATTCATATTAATACATTTCTTCGCCAACGACATGTTTATTTTAAATGGTCATCAAGGTAACCATAGCCTCTGAATATTACGAAAGAGTAATTTAGGTTACGTATTAATCTCTAAGTGTGACTTCGATGCAAGTTAAGAGGTCACATTATTTCCATATAACTTGAATAGACCGGAATCATGGACGTAGATTATTGCGTAGGTGATTTAAATAACTAAGCTCTATAGCTATATAACTGTATATAATATGGGTATTTCTGAGGGTTTCT